TTTTTTTTTTTTTTTTTTTTTTTTTTTTTTTTTTTTTTTTTTTTTTTTTTTTTTTTTTTTTTGTGGAGGGAGGGAAAATGCATTGAGGCACATTGCAGGGACAGTGGCCGAGTGGGACTTGGTGGACTTTTTTTATTACACCACCCATACACACTAAAAACCCCCCCCCCCATGCCGCGTGGCTTATGATCCAGCCCGGAACCGCGTTAGCATTACTTTAAGGTGGAGCCAATAGGGAGACCATCTCGTCTCACAGCATTATCGAGCTAACTCGCCACCATTTGCTAGAGGTGCTGATGCTCTCAAGACCTGAAAAGGACTCGGGGTCCCTGAGGACCAGCACCTTGTCTAGCGTTTCATAGTAGGCCGCCTACTTAGCTAGCACCACTATAAGCTTAATGCTTTCCCTTGCTGATAGGTAAAAAGTACCCTGCGCAGCGTGGGTCCACATGAGCCTGTCTTTTAACTCAGGGCCTTTTTGCCTTATTTTATTCCTGCTTAGGCCTTATTATCGGCCTCTTTCAGGGTCTCCTAAATAAAGGGCAGCTCCTGCTGCCTGCTTCGTCCTTGTTGTCCGTTGTTGGGAAAAGAAAGCACCATGCTGGGCCTTGAAACTCTTTTTTACGTAGGTTTGAGCTTCCACACCGGAAGCACAGCTTGGATCTGTTTTCGTTTTTACTGTTGACGAGACGTGTCCATATCCCAGACATTTGTAACATCTCGTTACTTCGATTTTTTTTGGAATTCGGCAGCTTACAAAGCCAACTTGTAACCTGCCTTTCTTTTCTACTTGTCTGGCAGATACTTCGTCCACCTTACTTAAAGCCAGCCTCTGTCCTTTGGCATTTGGCTTTAAGAGAGCAACTTCTGGCTCCTGGCTCTAATGTCCAAAAGTCCTAGCAAAGGCCTCTTTGACCTCATCTTCCTCTACAATGGCATCCAACTCTCGGACCTCTAATGTCACTTTTTTGTCACTCATTTCGACAGTACCCTGTCCAGCTACTGATTTTTCAATTTGCTGTAAGAATGCAGCAGCATTCTCTACACCTTTGGCTTTAATAAGTATGTCTCTTTTTTTTGTAGTAACAACACTCTGGACTGCCACTTTAGCCTTATCGTGGTCAAAGTTCGCCTTCATAGTATTCAGCACCTTTAGAAAGGTCTGCCCTTCGGCCATCTTCACTACTACTGTTGTTGTCACATCTACTTTTTTCTTCTGGCTAAAGTCTATCAAACTACTAATGAGTCACTGAGGAGAACTGTCATAGGGTCAGGCCTAAGGCGATGTGGGTTTTGCCAGCAAAAGGCAAAAAGTATGCCAAGGTTCCTGGTCCTCATGAAGAAAGTCGACTTGGTCAGGGTCGGGACTGGCATAGGGTCCGTAGGGGAGACAAAAATGGGTGGTGTCCTTTCTGAACTACGTAACACCACCCTCAAGTGCCATGATGCCCCCACCAAGGCACTCAAAAGAGCCATGGCAGACGCAGGTAGCGTAAGAATCTCTGCCACGCGCCTAACCTGAGAGAATAGGGATGTTGAATCGACAGTGACAGAGTAGGACGTCGAAGTGGCAGTAAGGGGATGCTTTGACGAAGGGCTATATGGCCTACGTCGAGGTACCTGCGATGGCAGCCCCAAGCCCTGACAAGAAGGACCACATAAGTCTTGGCTGGATAAACTGCCGGATGCGGCTAAGATCATCAGTGGAGCGCTGTTTCAGGTACCTGAACTTTGGCCATTTTGCGGAGCAGTGTGGTGGACCTGACAGTACTTAGGCATGGCGAAGGTCTGGTGAAAAGGGCCACTTGTCAATAAAATGCTCTTAAAAAGAAGTGAGCTGTTTTCTGTGTGAGAACATGGTCCAGAAACCGGACACTGGAAACATCGCTGGGACCACCAGGTGTCGAACGCCACATGCTTCTGCAGGGGCAGCTCAGCGGAAATGGCGGTGATTCTGCAGATGAACCTTGATAGAACCATGCTTGCGCATGATCTGCTGAACTAGTTTTCCCCTGGGGTGTGAAGTTGCTCTTTATAAATGAGTCATCCATCACGTTATCAGGTTTGGGCTGGTACTGCAACAGGATTGGATGCATTGCCATGCTGATTCGCAGCGACAGGCTCTTCGTATCTGACACTGGAAGCAGAGACTATTTAGTGTAAATCAGATGTGGAAGTGTATTCTATGTGAGTTGCAACATTTATCCTAACATTCTGATTGACGTCTTTAGAGGTTGGCTTACTTACCCTAAGAATGCTGTTTACGTGTGTAAGGAGAATAGCAACATCGTTCTGGCCGGCAACTTCAACTCTAAGGACATTGCGTGGGAGAAAACAAGAACTTAATTCATAGGGCGAGTGGGGCTAGAGATGGTCACAAGGCTAGATCTCATCGTCATGGACTCTGGTGGATCAGCTACAGTTAGGTGACCCAGAAACCGGTGCACAATCATCGACCTTACATTGGCGTCATTACAAATGTCGGCAGGGGTGTCTGACAGGCGGATTCTCAAGAACTACACTGCTAGTTACCACCAATATGTCAGCTTCATGGTAAACGAAGAACATGGTACAAGCTTGCGAGAAGGCGCACGGCTTGGTGGAACGTGGTGAAGCTCAATCGATATTTGTTGCGGAAAGCCATGACAAGCGTGCTCTCTCCTGCCAATTCAACCAGGATTATTAACTCGGTGTAGGTCGAGACTTTCGTAGGTGGAACCATAAGACGTGTCAAGGAGTGGTATGCCACTTGTATGCCCTAAAAAAATGCCAGGCAGGGCCAGCGTTCGTGCTACTGGTGGACTGAGGAAATTGCCAAATTGCGTGGAAAGGTGCAGCGCCTACGCTGTCTTGCACAGCAACACAGAAATACTGGAGATGTGGAGGTGGCTGTAGCTCCATACAGTTCCGTTTCTGCGCATTGAACTGTTAAGCGAGTGGTGGAAGATCCAAAGGCTCATCCTTTTGGATACAGCCAAACCATCTCTCTTGGTTCCGTCGTCACTCTGACCCTTGAGCATGCTGGACAATGCTGGGAAAATGCTCAAGAGGCTGATATTAACTTGTTTAAGAGGAGAAGTCAGTCGTTCGGACATTCAGTTCGGTGTTAGAGGGGGAAGTTCGACGCTCATGGCTGTGGCTGTGGTTCTTGAATCGGTGAGGGGGGCGTGGAAACCCTCACATAAAATGAGGAGTGCCTGTGTCCTGGTGACTCAAAACATGCAAAATGCCTTCAACTCAGCCAAATGGTCCAACATAACGAGGGCTCTAAGGCACCAGAATGCGTCGAACTACCTCAGAAAGATACTGGATAGCTATCTCAAGGATCAAGTTTTTTAGTACGACATGAAGAACGGACCAAAAGAGAGGAAATGGACGTCAGAAGTCCTTTAGGGCTCTGCCCTTGGCCCCAGCTTATGGAACACGGTCTATAATGAACTTCTGCGCCTAAAAATGCCCCGTAGGTCAAGCAGACGGGCTTTGCTGATAACATACTATTGCACATCACAGCGAGATTCTGAGAGGAGGCCAAGCTCGAAGTCCAGTGGGTGGTTGAGATAGTGCCGGAGTAGCTGCGGGATCCCAGTTACGAACTAGCGATCAACAAGACGGAAATGGTGGTCCTTACCACACAAAGATTGTGCGGGAGTAACTTTCACCTGAGCGTTGCGGGTGAGACAATCTGCGCAGGCCTAGTTGTGCGTTACCTGGGGGTGTGGGTAGACTTACCGCTCGCCTGGTGGGAGCACATCAGGAGAGCAGCCGACAAAGCTGCCAACGTTACGGAAGCGCATACACGGTTAATGGCGATTGTTGGGTTTCTGCGAAAAGCCAAAAGGAGGCTTCTGGCGTCTGTTTCCAACTTAATACTTCTGTACGGCATGGAGGTGTGGGTGCACAGTTTCGAGCTCTTGGTAGATGCACTGGTGAGACAGGACGTCCAAGAGCACACTACGGTGCAGCGCATCGGATTCTTTAAGATCGCCTGTGCTGACCACACGGTCTACTCTGCTGTTGTTATGGTGATAGCACGAACGATTCTTGTCGTGTTGCTTCCACCGAAAAGGCAAAAAAAATTCCTGGGTTTCAGTGACAAAAGTGACAGCGATAGGTGTCATACTTATCAAGGCTGAAGGTGCAAAGAATGCTCTTGCGAATTGGAAAGTCGGTGGCTGGACAAGGTACTGTCAAAATGAGCAACAAAAAAGTGACATTAGAGGTCCAAGACCTGGATGCTATTGTTGAGGAAGATTAGGTTAAAGAGGCTTTTGCTAGGACTTTTGGACTCAGGTGCCAGAAGCCAAAAGTAGCGCTCTTAAAACTGAATGCCAGAGGACCATGGCTGGCACTGATAACTCTTGTGAAAAAAACCGTATCGAAAAATCACATAGTAAAACCATTAAAAAAAACCACATAAAACCACGTAGTCTTACTACTCCGTTTTCATGCGGTTTCTTGTCTTAAATTACCATGTGGTTTTTAAGTAAAATCATATGGTTTTTACAAGCTTTTCTTTATTGTTTATTAATAAAAGGAACTATTTCTACTTAAATTCAAGTATTAAAAAATCTTATAACGCATTAACAATTAATACGAAAATAAAACAAAAGAAAAAAAGCCTCTAAGGAGAATTAAACTTTGGCTTACAGATTCTTAGCCAAGTATCTTATCCATTGGGCTATAGTGGATTTGTTTCTAATTTTGTGTCCTTATCAGGTACAGAAGGCACAGTATTCTGTTATTTGTCCTTGTACATAACTAGTTATTTACATATAAACTACAGTAAAATCGTGTGAATTTGTGTATGCAATAAAATTAACTTGTTATTAATAATACGTGTCAAGATATTTGTTTCTAAGATAAAATAGCTATGGCAATTAAACCTTTAATTTAATTCGTTGATCATACATACTTAAATGATAAACTTTTCGTTCTTACATTATCCAATAATTAAATTGATATCTAATTAATAATTAATCAAAATAATAAATGTATTTTACTATTTAGTTGTGAATGAAAAAAATTT